TATGAATTTATAAATATATATATATGCAGTCATGGACTTTATATAGACGATAAATATTGATTGCACGGCCACGTTAATTTCTGCCAATTATGCCCAACCCAAACACTTATATACGTGTGTGTGTGTAGCACTGTCTGCAGCTCTTTTATTATTATTATTTGTTATTATTAAATATGTCTCCATAATTATCGAGCTCTTTTGCAATTACCATTGGTCGACCTAGCCACAGGTTAAAAATCTTGCAACATTTTCCATCAATTTTTTGTTTTTAATTTATACTTAAATACTTTCGTAACGACAGTGCCAGCTGGCAATAGCCGACTAGGAGATGCTCGTCAATCTTCAATTTTTGCAGGAAAGGACATCGACTCAGCTCACTCAGCTTATTATTTTAATTTTTTGTTATTATTAAATTGCAAAAAATAACCAGAAATTAATTAATAATGATATAAAATTAAAGTCACTAATATATTTAAAGTAAAGTTTACAAATTTAATAAAAATTATTTGATATCTAATTTAAAAAAAAAATAAATATTTTTTATGCAAAAATTTGTATTTAAAAGTATTAATTTGAATTTCGAATATTTTATTATATTTATATAATATATATATTTATTATAATACTCTTTTACTAAAACATTTTAAGATATCTCTAATTGCCTTAAAGATTCCCTTTTTAGCACTTTTTCATAATTTTTCAATTATCTGTTTATATTTATATCTGTCTTAACTCATTTAAGCTCACATTTCTACATTTTAAATTCCTAACTCTTCTTTCAATATTTGTGTATGATAATATTTTTCATTGACTTAGTCCACTCAATTCCTATCTCCACATTTTAAGCCCACATATTCGATAAAAACTTCGCATTTTTGTTAATTTTGGTAAAAGTTCAGTTATTTTTTTTATTTTTTGGGCATCCTTTCACACATTTTGTAGCTCCTCGGCGAGCCCATGTTTTATATAAGCATATGTGATTGTCCTCCCTTTGGGTATCTGTATCTTATGTGCCAAACCGCTTGTATACGTATCTGGGCTGCGTTTCCTTAAACTTTCCGTTGCCATCCGGCAGATGCTCTTGCTCCTTCACTCCCTCTCTCTCCATCTCTCTCTATCTCTCTTTGTCTCTCGCTTGGCTGGCAATTATGAAAAGCAAAATAAAAATAGCATTTTTAGCGCTTGGCTGCAAGTTTCTTCGCACAGCAAACTTTGTCCAAAAAAAAAGGGTACAAAAAATATGAAAATAAAAAATTTAATATATATATATATATATATATATATGTATATGAAAAGGAGCGAAAAAAAGAGTGTGTCTATAGATTTTGTACTGCAAGTTGGGTTACTTGGGGACGGTTTTGCAAATGACAAAAAATTTTTAGTGTAATTATCTTTTGAATAATTAAAGAAAAACGTTGGCGCAGCTTAACAAGAAGCAGAGCGCTGCGAAAATAGCGCAAAAACTGTGCCAGCAACAGGACCAACAGCAGGACGACAAATAGAACACACACACACACACTCGCACACAGCTTCAGTGTATGCTGATAACTAAGACTGGCATCGCCTTTCGCCTTGGCTGCTTCCCACCCACAGCCTGGACATATTTTTAAGTTTTCCTTTTGCCTAATGCCTTGAAGCCCTAGAGGGCGTTGGCGTTGGCTGGAGCGTGGGCGTGGGCGTGGCCCTGGCACAGCCACCCAACTGCTTAGCGTTCGAAGCACACGCGCTGTAATTTGCTTCAAGTTATGCTCATTATGCGCCAATTATTTATGTCAAATGAAAAAAAACGCAGCCAAAAATTCAAAATGTTCAAGGGGCAAACTCGCGAACGTTTCGCGGTGGATCGATTGCGCGAAAAGCTAAGCCACAACAAGATGCAAGTGCCAAACGCATCTGACTATGGGTAATCAATATATAATAATTTATATTGCATTAAACTAATTTAGTAAGATAAGATGGATCAATATAAGTCCAAGACAACTAATTAGCTGTGACTAGGTTTTGTTTAAGCTTCAACTTGCAGACGACTGCAGTGATCCATTGAATTGCTCTCAAATAAAGTTTCTTGCAATGAAAATGTTCTGGCCTAAACAAGGTCTTTTTATCAACCATGTTATGATTTTTGTTTAGATAAAACTAGTCAGAAAATTTCGAGCTTAAAAAGCTGAACTTGTTATTCATATCATTCTGCGTTCCTTATGCGCGAGCTGCTTACTGGGCAACGACTGTGCTTGACCTTCATTGTAGGCTTTACTTTGAGCAAATTATAGTTGAAAAACTTGCACTTTCTTAACTGAAATGAATAAATTCAGATTTACGCACTGATCAGCATCAAGATGAATTTTCAAAGCGCAAGTCTCCATGATCCAAAGCTCCGAAATATTCTCAATCTGTGTATTCAACAATTTGCATGCCACAGGCAGCACGAGGTGTGGCATACTTTATAAAGTTCATATATTCCTGACAAGCTAAATCAATCTATCCCTGCCCATCTGTCCGTTGGTCCTTCTGCCCGTCAATCCGTTTGCATAAATGACTCAATCTAGTTTCTGACTTCAATTTGATGCAATCAACTATAATTCTAACTTTTAGCACTTCTAATTTATGTCAAATTCGATTTAGCTTAACATGCGTATCACAAAATCGTTTATAAATTTTTGGCATTTGCTTAAATTCCCTCCCATTTTGGCTCCAACTGATTAAACTGTTAAGCATCTGCAGTTTGTTTGTTTGAGTGAGAACGAGAGAAGAGCAAACATGCGAAAAATGTTAAAGCATTTTAAAGAAGAGATTCCGAGAATTGTTTTCTGTGCTTAAGTAGCGAATAGCTAGGAACTGAGATGCTTGGAACTTAATACATATTTTGTTAAGAATGCTTTCCGCCACTGTTTATAGTTTGTGTTTAATTTCGTGAAGCGTTTTTGTTGAGCAAAATGGGTTAAGAGCCGCATATCACAGTCTAGCTGATGGCATGGGAAAACTGGCGCCTGTCTCCAGTTACATAAGGGGGTAGGCGGGAGCAACTGGAGGAGCTGTAGGAGCTGCAGCCGGCTGTCGTTGTCGTTGTCTTGGCGTTGGCGTTGGCGTTGGCGTTGGCCTGTGCAAGTTGATGCCACGCTTGGCACTGTTGACATGCCATTACTGCAGCTAATTAGAGAAGCGACCCAATGGAGCTGCCAGAGTCAGAATCTCCAGACTCCAGACTCCAGACTCCACTCTCTCTCTCTCTCTTCCTCCCTCCCTCTCTCTCACTCTGTCTTGCTGTGTTGAGAGCCACTGCCGAATGTCCAACTGTCGGATTGTCTGGGCTGGTGTTGCGACGACCTGTCATGTGACATTGTTGACGCCTCGCACGTTACGCTGTGCGCTGCCCTACAGGGACACGAGCAGCTCGATTCCCAGTCGTCGCAAGCCCCCCACTGCCCCTCGCTGCATGCCTTGTCAACTTCCTTCCATTTCCAGTTCTCATTTGTGCGGCATTTCCGGTACACTGGCGGGCACAATGGCGGCAAGCCCGCACTCGAGTTGTTTGTTGGCGACGTTTCGCTTTCCGCCGCAACTAAATCATTTGTGGAGAAACTGTCGCCGTTGCCGTCACCAGGCTCTGCTTTGCCCTGCCCTTCACTGCACCCGCCAGCCTCCACTGCTGCTGCAGCTCGCTCCTGTTGCAATTGTCTTTCTTTTCAAATAGTTCCGTGTGCCAGCCAGGAGCCAAAAGTTGGCACAGTTAATTCATGAGATTTCACGGTTTATCTCACAGCTAGCTACCCACCCAGCTCCACACTGGACACCCTTAACACACACACTTGCTCCCTCTCTCTCCCTCTCTCTGTCTGTCTCTATCTCTTTTCATTTCTCTTTTAATATTGCTGTGCGTCTTTTCTGCGCTGCGCATAGTTCACAGTTAATTAGAAAACTATTCCGCGTGCGGCGCTTTGCCAACTTTTGAACTCTGCGCGCGACTCAACTCAACTCAACTCGACGCGGCTCAGCTCAACTCTCGATTCAGGCGCCCACGTTTAATTATAATTTCCGTAAAAGTTATGTTTATCCTTAATATATGCATAACCTTGGTCATTTTGTTTAGCTGCCGGCTGCTATTTACCTACCAACTTTTCCTTACCTACAACTGCTGCTCTTTTCGTTTGCGTGTTTATAAGGCGCCAGGCATACGCCCAAGCAGATTTCATCATATGCTATAGGAAATGCAATGCTTAAAAAACTACAAAATTATTAATGCTGTTGGGATTGTATTTCTTAAAATGTTGCGTAAGTTCTCTTGGACTCGTCAATACATATATCAATATATCTTTATCTCTCTCTTACTCTTCAAAGATAGTATAGTCTATATCTTACTCTTCATAGATAGATATAGATATATTGAAATTTCTTACTCATCTCTTACTCTTCATAATTATATATATAATAACTTGAATATATATTAATTATTAGTTTGCAATATTATTTATGGAATGACGTCAGGATTATTTTAAATTCTCTTTAGATTTATAAAATTTATTTTAATCAGTAAATGATTTTGATTCATTTTGAGAGCCTTCAAGCTTCAAGCTATATAGGAATACAATTTATTTAATTTAATTATTGAACAGTCGCACTGAACCTGATACAATTTCTGTGCACTTTCAAAGGATTTAGCAATATTATGCCCAAAGTAGATATTAAGAATATTATTTCCCACGTCTAAAACTACTTCAAGTAGTCTCTTATTGCAAATTAAATTTTTTAAAAAATGTTAAATAACAAAATAATTATTTATTATGTTTAACATAAAATATTATCATAAAATAAATTATTTATTTTCTATAGTTTTTGAAAAATTTATAATAGTAACTGATATCATATATAAAGAAATTATAGCTGGAAAAATATGTCAGCTGAATACTGAGAACTCTAAATTATTACATATTGTAGCTGAATCTGTGCTCATCATCATATATAATTCCTATTTCATTTGAACTTCATATGAATGCCAACTACCAATCCTGTTAAACAGCTCAGGAGAGTATTAGCTTAGGCCCTGAAAAGAACATTTTTATAGACAAATTTTCGATGATTGAATTTTTTTGTCGTTGGCTAATGATAAAAAATATTGCCTAGATATCTGCTATACAGCTTTTCTCTTCTTTATTGGACTACAATCTAGCTTGTCTTTTCTGGAATCCAGTATTGAAACATAGAAATGAATATCCAACTTCAGCTTGCCAACCCACCCAAGTTCCATCTTACCAATTTGGAGAAAGAGTCAGCTCCACATGCACCACATCCTTAGCAGTCGAATCGAGATGCTGAAGCACAAACTCATTAAATTTCACACCATAGAAGAACAACTCGACTGGCAATTGTCGCTGATGCAGTCCGCTGCGCAGCTCTTCACGCAGCACGCCAATAACGCTATAGATGAGCTGGCCAGAAAGCAGGACGCAGCGCTCCAGATGCAGCACGTGCAGCCGCTTGCAGCTCAGCAGCAGACGCAGAATCGCTTGCTCTGTGACTTGCTTGCACGACTGCAACGAGATGTGTTCCAAGTCTTGCAGACTGCACAGCTTGGCCATGACAATATTGTCGATCTGATTGTGATGGGGCAGCGACAGAATGCGCAATGCCTTCAGCTGAGCAATCAGCTCGAGGTGTTTGGCATCTAGTGAGATGCGTGAATTGCTCTCCAGCTGTGTTAACTGATCCGACTTGAAGGCCACCAGCCACTGCAGCAGCTTAAAGCTGGGCGGGCTATCGTGCATGATCAACTGCCTCAGCTCGGGCAGCTTGGCCAGGTACTCCAGATGAAGGGGTTGCTCCTGATAGCTGAGCGTCTTCAGTGTGAGTCTCTCCAGACTGTCGCAGCAATGGTCGTCGACCAACTCCCGAAATACATCCGTTTGCTCTGTGTGCACAGCCTTTACGCTCAGCTCTTTGAGTCTGGGCAAGCGGCTGCAGATGTTTGGCAGGAGCGTAAACTGCATATCGAAGCAATATAACAGATCCAATGATACTATAGACTTGGGCAGCTTATCCATCTGCTGGCCAGTGAGCATGTCATTATAGCAGAGATTCAGTTTCTTGAGCTTACCCAGATGACTCAATGCCAGCAGGTAATCATCCTTGAGATCACAGTTCGAGAGCTCCAAGTCCTCGAGCTGATGAAGTTGAGCAAAGAGCTTAAACATATTACGCAACGATAAAGGACTATATCTAATGCGCAGCACCTTAAGTCGTTGACAGTGGCTGGCCACGTATTCAATCAGCCGCTGGTGATGATTACGAGGTATTTGGCCAACAACTTGGCTCAGATGCTGCCCGAATAGCTGGAGAAAATCACGAATATCCCACAGGCTGAGCCCCTTGAAGATGCCCAGATTTATGGAGCTATAAAGGGGCGGGCAACGCTTCAGGACGCGTGCCAGGCTCAATTGCTCCACAAGCGTTAGATAACGGTATATGCAGAGCAGGCAATCATCATTAAGCCTCATTATAGGCGACATTTGGCAAATGGACCCACAGCGCTCAACCGACCCCGGCTGACCCCAGCTATAAAACGCCGCCACCTTAACCAGCTGTTCATCTATCAAATGCCTCTCCTTCTGCAGCACATCGGCTGCATCGCGCGAGCTTTCGTACAGGACGTGGCCATGTTTGAATCTGTTGTCACTCGCCTTCTCTGTCAACTCCATGTGCAGCACTTTGCCAAAGCTGCTGAAGTATTTCGACAACACGTCCGATTCCATCTCGATTGGCAGACCGTGCAAAAACAGTTTCTTTACCTCAATGTTGTCCTCGGTGTAGGCGATGCTGCGGCCATAGAAGGGACGATACCTAATGGCCGACATCTGCTCTTAAATATATACAAATTTACAAATTTTACTGAAATGTGTTTTAACTATGTTAGCTGATTGAAAATGTTTTTGATTAAGTACGGGGAGTAGCTCGATTGATAGTAGTTTGGTATTTGAGCTAAGTCTATCCAAAGAATTGCTGGACACAAAAAGTCTTAAATTCGATAAGTTCGAAAGGTGAAAGTCAATCTTATTGAATGTTTCATTAACTATATGCATAACTATATAATATAAATAAATTTTAACTTCAACTAGTCTACAGTTTAATCCCTAAACAAGAACTCACCTCAGTAAGAACAGAGTAGCTAGACGCAGCTCAACAATTTTGGCTTCAACTAAGTATAAGCTCTTCAGACAAAAGGCTCAACAAAAATGCATTGCAGCTGTTATTGAAATAGATTAGGCTTGGGGTTTCAATTAAAGATAATTGGTATATATACATTTCAAGGGCATTGTATAGACTGATCAAATTGCAGCATAGAGACAGAAGATGAAGTAAAACAAAAAGTATTTCCAATATTATATATTATTTTTTGTTTCAGTTTCAATAAAGCCATTCGAGTGTAAAGTTCAATTATGAATTAGTAGATTCAATTTATCTCTATGAGATATTTTATAGAAACTTCATAATAATCTCCATCTCACTCTTGGCTTAAGATTTGCTGACCTCAAAGGATTCGTTTACAAATGACAAATTTTAAGAAATATTTAAAATACTAAATGTTCTTTATAACTCCTTTAGCTACTGAATTAGAATTATCGGAAATAACATCAGTCTTGCTTAGTTAGCTCATATATTAAGTAAAGTGAAGACACAGCTTAGGTTTTCTATGGCAACTGCTGCAGCTTTACTATAACTTCTCAAATCGTTCTTTATCCTCTCCTTTCTCTATTATTCAGTTTTCAACGCTTTAAGTTAAGTTACTGCTTCGAGTTTCTACTTCAACCTTTTTCAGCCCCCCTCAAATCTCTTTAATCACTAAGCCATTCTATTCATATATATATTTATTTACATACGAGTCTAAACGCTTTTTTCATAGTTGTTCATAGTGTTGGGCAAACTTTGACAGCTTTTTGTGGGGCTGCTCAAAATTATTTACAAAACGCTTGAGAGTTCCATGATTTAAAATAATCATATTTACATGATATAGGCAGGAGAGAAAACTACAAAAAAACTTGCCTTTTAGAAAACGCAGTCACGCCATGACCACGCCCCACTCCTTATGCCCCTTTGGGCACATTTTATGAAAGTTGAACAATTTGTAAACAAAAATTTTACACGCACTACACCTAAAAAATATATTAAAAAAAAAGTCATCCAATCAATTTTGTTGTTTGTCGCTTCAACTTGTGGCAGCAGCAGCAACCGCAAAGTGTTTTCTGTTTTCATTTTACTTCTCTTTATTTTTGTTTTTTTTTTCAGTTGGAATTTATTGCATGCAGCAACTGATTTGATTAGAAACGCCCATTGCCCCATTGCTGGAGCGCTACGCCCATTGGCTTAGCCTTCAGTTCAACGCTTTTGAGGGCCGCCTGGCCAAAAGCAATCTCTTAATTTGTTTACAAGCTTTGCTTTTGGCCGTCCATTCCGTTCCGTTCGGTTCCGTTCCGTATCGTTTCGTTTCATTCCTCATCCTGCGCTAGTTTTGCCGCACTTCTCAAAAAAACCTCAAAAAAAATATATGTAAAAAAGCCAAAAGAAAACGCCTCGACTCGCTTGCAACATTTGTAGTCGCAGTCGCAGTCGCAGTCGCAGCTGACGTCGCAGCTCAGGCTGGCTGCCTCTGATAGAGATCTTGCTTTTATTTGTTACTTAGCATATTTTCACCTTGAGGGCAAACAATCTTCCACTAGACACAAACACACACACAGGCAGAGCACAGCACCCACCCACACACACTCTGTGTGCCTGGCAGAGAGTAATAAATATTTTTTTACAGTGCGCTGCTTGTGCGCCTCAGCTTCAAATATTTTCATCTTTTTTCTTTTTTAGTTTTGCAAGCCGCGACGCAGCTCAGATTTGCCCTTTTGATGCACTCGCATTTGGGACGCTGGATAGCATAACTTTCACAAGAGATTGGTAACGCTAGCTAGAGATAGAGCAGAACAGGTCTTATGCCAGTTTAAAAGAGCAAAAACGAAGCAAAGCCAAACCAAGCACTTAAAAATAAACTTGATTCGCATCTAGCATTGGGCAAAAGTCAAGGGTCAAGCTTTGGCCTGTGCTACAACAAAAGTTCAAAGGTTCAAGTCAAAAATAACAAAAAGAAAAACTCTTAAATCAACCTCTTCAAAATTCATTATAAAATCAATTTTTGTCTTAGATTTCATTTAAAATGCGTCCAAATATCAGGCAATAGAATGTTCCTAGAACTGCCCTAAAGTTTAATCAATGCAAGTACACATTTATAATATATTAAATAATATTATATAAACTTATAAGCTGCATACAAATTGAAGCTCGAAAGGCATTAAATTGATTAATATTCATGTTTGCATAACTAAACATATGACAGACTTTGATATGCCATCAGCTTTGCTATAATCTAGTTAGAGACAGGTATTAAGTGCAAAATATTATTAATTATATAATTAATTACAGCTACATAATTAAGTTATTCAATTAAAATTGAAAAGCATTTGTCAATATAAATTTTCACTACATTTTATAAACCCAAATTTAATATTGATTAGTTTTTATTTAACATTTTTTTATTAACAATCAATATTATTTAATGCAATTTTTTTATTATAAAATGTAATGCACGTAATATTTTATTTTGTTTTTAAATATATTAATAATATTAAGTTTATTTCATAATATGTACATTCTATTAAGATTTTTTAAAATTATATTTATAAAATGATTTTATTTTATAATTGTTAATTGTTTTTGTATGATTTTTTTTGCAATACAATTTATTTTATATGAATTTGTTCAATAATTATTAAAAAATTAGTTAACTAAATGCAATATATATATTGGTTAATTCTATATATGTTATTTAATTATAAATTAAATTAATTTTAATCAAATATTTTATACATTAAATTAATTTTATAATATATATTATATAAATAAATATTTAAATGTTAAATATTTATAAAAAAAAATGACAACAAGATTTCAATAACTCAATTATCCATTTTCAAATTCATAATGCAGCTGCAGCAAACTCGCATTAAATCAAAGTAAAACTAAATTAATAATGTTATGTAATTAATTATCAGCCTGCGATGACCTACATACTTCGAGCATCATTAACTGGCCACACATTAACGCGATTACTTCAAGCACTCACTAGCTATTTCCCCTTGATAGACAATTCATGCTTAAGCACATCTCGTATATTAGAAAAGCACTTCAATATTTAACAATGAATTCCTATGAACTTTCCAGTTTTAGTCAATTTTGATATGCGTAACAGACGCGCGTGGCTTAAACGAAAACGTTTTTGTAATCTTTGCACCTTAGGGTATTACAATCGTCTTTGCTTTGGCAAAATCCACGTAGATAATATTTTGCTTTTTATACAATCGTCGGCCGTTGACGTTGCCACACAATATACAAGTAGCTTTTCATAGATATATATACGTATATATATATCCTTCTATATAGGTAAATATATTTACTTATATTTTTGTACTTTTCATATAAGTATATTTATGTGTATTTTTGAATTTAAATGATTGAATTTGGCGTATGCTAAAACAGCTCTCAAAGATGGAAAGAGATGGAGCCAGAAAGAGAGAGCGAGGAGACAGCCAGGCAGCCATTTGCAAAAATATGAAAATTACCTTTAATATGAAAAGGCAGACAGAGAGTCAAACATATTTTTATTTTCTTTTTTCCACATCTAGATAGGCCTGCTGCTCTACAGAGCAGACAGCAAGACAGACACACAAACATAGAGAGAGAGAGAGCGAGACAGACGCAAAGAGAGGCGTTCTATTTTATTTTGCTTTATGCCTTTATATTCTGTTTTGTGTTTACATAAAAGTGAAGTGAGGCAGATTGCGCTCGAGTGCGTTAATCAGCGCTTCTGGGCAGGGATACGGACCAGAGCACGGACACGGATAAGCACCGGGTGGGCTAACCCAGATAGAGAGGGAGAGGTAGTGGGAGATCAGGGCTGGCGTCGCGTTTTAAATCAACTTCAGCTGGCAAACTTTGCGTTGACTTTTCTGTTGCTGTTCAGCTGCTGCTGCTGCTGCTGCTTCTGCTGCTGCTGTTGTTGGTCAGGGCACTGACAAAACAGATTATACTGATTTCATGCTGGGGAAAATCAAAAAATGAACGTGCGGCAATTTACATACTTAAGTTTCTTCTTTTTTTCCCCCTTTGCAGCCCGCCCACCTGCTGCTGCCGCCCCTTTTCGAGCTGCTGTTCACGAATTTATTGGCCACATGTTTTGTGCTACCTTCGTGAGTTGTACAATTTGCCTTTTGACAATATGTATACGCATTATACACACTTCTCTTCTTTCCTTTTCTTTCTTTTTTCTGGGCAGTTTGGGATTACAAGGAATTTCCGGGGATTCCATTTTAATTGAATTTCTTTTTTGGCTGTCATTGCTGTTGCTGTTGCTGTTGCTGCTTTGCATTTTTGGCAGATAATTAAAATGACCGTCGGGCAGTTTGAAATATTTTACTTTTTTTTAGAAATTAGTCAATTTTAAGTTTGTTTTCTTTCCTTTCTTTTTTTGTTATGACTGCTGAGCGAGTGATTACACTCGATAATTTCCATAAAGAAAGAAATGTAACAATCATAATCATATTAGAAGCAGTCAACGTCCTCTCCTCGACCAAAGTGCAGCAAGAAAATGAGTGAAAAATGGTAGCTGAAGCAGTTGAGACAAAGTTACATTAGAACACTTAAACACTTAGCTGCGCTGCATCAGCACTTTCCCTCTCTCACTCTCTCCCTCCCTCCGTCTCTGTCTCTCACTGCGACGTGGCCAACTGTAGCTTCTGGCCAAAGTTGCTCTCATGCCAAACACGATCCCGAAATCAATTTCTCCGCTTTTTAAGTCACTTTTCATCGTTATTTTACTTTGGACTCATAAATAAATCAATATTAATT